AAAAGGTAAAATTAGAAGTGGGATTGAACTGGAAAATAAAGGCAAAGCACACGAGGACTAAGAGATGCCTCCTCGAAGGACTTCCTAAACTGGCTCGTATTTACGTTAAACACATTTAGATAATCAAGAAAAATCCTATGCAGCCCTCCAGCCCCTTCGCCAGGATTTGAATCTGGGTCGAATTACCAGCGATTTTACTGCTCGCCCGCTGATGGATCACATTAGAACTGGGACAAATCCTAAATTTTCTCTAATCTGAATCCTATTTTTTTTTTCAAATATCTCAAATTTGGAAAATGTTTCATCTGTTACAAGCGGAGATGCCTCATTTTAATTAAATACACCTGAATCTCGATTACCCGGGTAAAATTCGTGCAGTGTCGTCCTCCGAATCTGGGTTCTTTTAGCTGGATCTTGATCTAAGTAGGGATGCACAATTATATATATAGGTACAGAGGTAGGCAGACAACTCGCTGCACATTTATGTGAATGGACTGAAGAATGAACAAATAGATAAAGAGGTACATAGATCAAGAAGTAGATAGCTAGCTATATTGCTGATGCTGTTAAATAACAGAAACAATGCTTAACATTAATTAATTTGTTATTTACATCTCTTTCATACTGAAAGAAGTTCCTCATAAATTTTCTTTTTACCCGTTATCTCTCATATATTTGTTTTTGAAACACAACTTAATTTTCATATTTAGTTGCCAAAGCTAAGTATGAAATACAATATTGCCAATGAATCCATCTTCAAAAATTATTAAATTGGTAAATAACTTTAATAATATAGTAGATAATATTTAAAAGATAAAGATGATTTGACAACAAATTTTATAAATAAGACAATTCTACTTATAATAAATATATACTCCGGTGTTTTTTTTAGCCCGAAAAGGATGTTAGTCCCTAATGGGATATTAGTCTCGAAACGGCATTTTGCCGGTATCTTCTATTTCTCATGCGTTAAAATAGAGAGAGAGGGAAGGAGGAGGGAAAGAAAGAAAGGAGGAGAATTACAGAACAGCCGAAAAGCAAGAATGCATGCAAAATAATTAAATAAACGCAAGCAATAAAAATTACATAAAAAATTAATCTATAAAAATAATTACATTGTTAAGCTTGAAACCACGCATATTTTCCCCCTTTATATAAAAAAGAAGAGCATATTTCCTTTCATTATGGAGACCAATTAAACTGTTTTTAATATTAAACTAAAAGTCACGTTTCTTTCTTCCCCTCATATCAGATCCATTTAAATCGTTTTCAGTATTATATTAAAAGTCACGTTTTTGAAACGCTTGTATGCAAGTTTACATATGCACTATACATGCCATTATAAAAATGAGAAAGCTTGTAACATTGATGCATGAAACATCCATTAAATACAATTTACCAATATATTACCGCAAAAATATGCTTGCCGGATAGAAAAAGAAATATAGTAGGTGTTCATTTTTCAGAAAACGAGTAAATAAATGTTAATGTTAATTACACCTATATTAGTATTTATGCAAAAAACATATTCAGCGACATTCCTTGCGTGTTGAATTTAACAGCCTTAAAATTTTATTAAAAATTCTGATTTTTGGGGGGGGGATACGCAAAATATTAAATAAGCTTTCTCACATTTTAGTACGTAATTAGAATTAAACTAAAATCACTTCTGTAAAATTTATTATTTCTTGGAATCATAGACATCGTCGTACACGTATCAGGAAGAAACTTTATAATATTATTATGCGAAAGATATCGATTTTGAACGGAAAAGATTTATTAAATGTTTTAGAATCTTCTCAATATTAACCATCGATTTAAAAAAATGATCATTTTAAATGCAATCGATAAAGAATAAATATCAAATCAGGACAGAAATATTTTTAACAATATTCGAAAAAGTATAACAACACAGATATAGAATTGAATAGTGCAATAGATATATTTTTGAAAATTTCTCTTCGAAACATTTTATAAGCTTTCATTAACATGAATTTATAATATAAACGTTTCGAAAATGTTAACTCTCCTGAGATATTTATCATACTAAAAGCGATTAACGCACGAATTAAAATTTCATATGACTACCAACAGAACTTTGTGACTATTGAATGGCTCATTATGTAATGATATCACTTTGAGACACGAAGTAATAATTTTGGGGGGGGGCAGGGAGTATGATTGAACAAAAATACAATAAAACTCTTAAATATTTACGTCAGAAGCTATACTATTTCACTTCCATTTAAAATTCTAAAAATATTATTTATAAAAGAGTTATAAATAATATCGTGGTGCGAAAACAAAATTCTTTAAATCATTAAAAAATATTTTTTGGGGGTTTCTTCCCATCTGAAATGGTTATTTTAAGTTATTTATTATTGCAATGAACCTGAAAATAATCCATCTTAGGATGCTTTAGTGGAGGATTTTCTATCAGAAAACCGGCTCATATATTATTCACGTTTCACATGAAGAGGATCGCAAATCGCTACGTCGTCGAAAATGATCGAAGTTAAAGAGATCAGTATGCGAAGTGCAAGAAATTTGTTTTCTTTTTATATCGTGTTGATATTTCTTTTCCTTATTACAAGAGACGCCAAAGTAAAATAAGCCAACTTATAAAATGGCTGCTCACCGTTAATCAAATAGCATGAATGCATATTCCATCTTCAAAGGATTCTCCTACACTTACGTATGAATAAACAACCTAAAAGTGAGGAACAATTTCTGCAGATACACCAGATATAAGATTAAAAAAAATAATAATAAATAAAATTAAATTAAATTAAAAAAAAAAACCTTTCATTTAATATAAGATTTTAAACTCATTCGATTTTAGAGGCATTTAAACAATAAGTAATAAACTTTTAATGGAAGAATCAGATATCTACGAGCATGAGTTGCCTAGATTATGATTTAAAAGAAATATATAAAGAAAGAGAAGCCAATGCTTTCTTTAACTTCCGTTATCTCAAATTTATTAATTCATTATCTGCTGTAAATGTCGTTTCTTCAGTAACAGATTTCAGTATTGCTTCTGAGCTGAATCAGTTAGTGGATATGCATTTCTTGGATGTTTTCCATTCTTTGTGGTTTCATAAACTAAGTTTATACAAAATTCAGCTGCTCATTTCAATATTTCTAAAAAATGTAATTCGAAGGGTGAGGCAGCTTACATTATGTAAGACAGAAAATTTCTATACAGAAACTGGATGGAGCTTTTTAAATTTTTAACAAGTAATCGGATCAAAATCATAAATTGGCCGGGACGCCAAAACCATACCTACAAACTGCGACACTCCGATCAAACTGGGACGTCTGGTAATCCCATTTAAAATTATAAACAAATAATTTTTTAAACAATATCCTTATATTTCTCTAATAAATTACTAACTATGAAGGAATTTTATACAGCCTTTTATTGAAAACTTAAATAACTTTTTATCGTGGTTGCACAGCAACGGGCACACGTTAAACCTTTGGTGGGCGCAGTGGTACTCGCGTGCGTAGGGTTGGTGACCCCTACTCTAGACCTAGGAAGGCGTAAAAGTCATGCTGTAATTTCTGTATGGTTCCCCTTCGCTAAGAAACAGGAGTTTGGAAAACCTCGAAAGGACATTTTCTTTAATGTTCAGATTATTAGGTTTAGTTGATTATGGCATAGAACACTGGGGCTATATGCCTAAGGGAAGGTATGCCTTCATGGAAAACTTTCTAAGGGAAACTGGCTCGTATGCAGGTTACATAACTACCAGCGTTCAGCAATTTTACCGCTCGGCCGCTGGTGAGCCGATATCTTTATTAGGATTTCAAATTATTAGAACAGACTACAAATTTCAAGAATAGGCAATTCATCTCTTGAAATGCAGTGAACCCTCTCTAGGCCAACTTCAGTTCCAGATGATTTTGGTCTTCAGTGGAAATAATAATGAAAAAATAATGAGGTTTAATAGCAGTATTTATTTATGCTCTCAGAAATACTGGTCACTTTCAGATTTCGCCGCCAGCCGGGAAGTAGTCGCCACAAGAGCATTCACTGAAGTTCTCCGCTTTGGTGAAGACTGTAAACCATGAAAAATGTCGCGGTTGTTGTCAGAGTTACATGAGAGTTCTTTGCAGATGACGTTAGATACCGCGAATTTGAAAAACCACTGTTTCGAGACAAAAAGAATTTAATATGTGTTTGGATTTTATAAAAAATTGAGTTGCGACTCCTGCATAGATTCGTAGATACATCTCTTCAGTTAAAATAATTCATTTTTTTAACTATACCTCAATAATATATAATCTCATAACACAAATCATAATCTTCCTCTGTTAAAAGATAATACCAATTTTTTCTCCAGTTTTCCACTACAACGTGCAAAGCGGACCGTGAATAGTTCGAAAATATTTTTATCGACATCTACTTTGCGATTCTTAAAATTATAGAATTTAATAAATAATTATTTAGTTTACAATATTTTACCTCATTATTTGCTTTTCAATAAATAAAAAAATTATCAAATTATTTTATGAGTTTTATAATAGAAGAAAATGTATTCCTCGAAAATACTCGAATCGTATAAAAATTAAAAAAATTATGATACTTTTAACACCTTGCAGCTTTCAGTAAGCAGAAACGCAGTTGGCGACACTTGGCGAAGTGTCTAGCATGACTACACATTCAAGTAACCCTACATCGATGCTCTTCTGATAGCTTTAAAGCAGCTAATGTTATTGCTATGACCCATTCAGAATGTAAACAAACAGTTTTAAAAGAATCCCGCGAACTCCAGACCTTTCGCAGAGAATGTCACAGCTAATAAACTCAACGTGATACATTATCGTACACCACAAGCTACTGAAACGAGCAAAAAATTAAAATATGATTTTCTTTTTAAATTCAAAAAAGTTTTACCAACATTTTTCTACAGCTATTATTTTTTTACAGCAGAGGAGCGATGGATATCGTTATCGTATCTTTGAATATTTTTATGAAAAAAATCTGCACTTACCGCGTCCATATAATGAAGAAGGATGCATTTAACGTTATAATCCGTAATAATCCAAGTAAATCTGTCAAAAAATTCCGACTTTTGTTTGCGTGAGTAAATCACTTTTCTCAGTCATAACGAGGTGGAAACTTCACAAACAAAAGCACAAAAGTATCCTGCGTAATTTTCACCAAAACAATCGCACAAAACACATTAATTACGGAATGTTTACTTCTCTCAGCGATCTCATGGCGTTCACTCGTGCCATTTTGAAAAGTGGCAGCGTCGTCTGTTTTGAAAGAACGCCATCTTTTGGAGAATTCTTCAACTAAAATGTTACTTCAGAAGTCAATTAAGTCCTCGGAAGACCAGAAACTAGCAATGCTTTAGTTTCGAAGTTTTCTGAAACTTTTTTAGAATTCTTTAGGAGATACAGATGTATTCTACGCATTTTTATCTCAGATAAAGAATTATCAAATCTAGGAAAGACACTTTTTTTTGTTTTTTTGTGGCAATATGTTTTCTACAGAGCTTAATTTCCAAAATTAGAAGAGTCGGAGCTCTGTGGAAGGCCGTCAAGAAAGAGGAACAAAAATATATGAATGAAATAATTAATAAAATAACTAATAAATAAATTAAAACTCAGTGAAACGTAAATATATAAATAAAAGTTTAATAAAAAATAGATGAATGTTAAATAGTTAACTAATAAAATAAAATTCTGGACCTAGCGGCTTATTTGGGGATTCGGTTGGAATTAGTTTTACTCAAATTCTGAGGAAACATTCAGCTAGGCTGGTTTATTTAAAATTCTCAAAATATGGTATAAAATTACTATTTCAAAGGATGGCAAAAACAAAAAGTATCATTTTTTTCAGCACACCGACCAAAAACGGTAGCGCATCACTAATGAAAATAGAGAGAGTATTAGAATCATTATAAGAGTATGGAAGGAAATTTTAATGGAGATGTGTAAATATGAAGACAAACTAAAAGATTCCGCTTTCTGACCACAGTCTCCAGCCTACATAATTCTAGCTGTCAAGCAGAATATGACAAGGAAAAACATATCCCCCGAATCAGGGCTTAATTTCCAAAATCAGAAGTGCAATAGCCTTACGGAAGGCCTCAGAAAAGAAAAGCTTAAAATAAATAAATAAAAGATTAAAATAATAATAAAAAATAAGATAACTATAAAAAAACTCTGAAAGCTTTCAGATTTTACATTACGCCCAAAGGGACTTTTTTTTTAAACTTTTATGTTTAACCTTTATTTATTAAATATGATGTTCTTCGCACTTAAACCATAAAATTCAATTCAATAGCAATATCGCAAAAATAATTTTTAATTCAGCATATCTTTAGAACTTCCGATACACAGTCTTGCACGCTGGAGATAATTCCCCCCCCCCGTACAGTATTGCCACTCCTCGCTTTGAAATCGTTGAGTTTGTTCATCAAAAATTCGTTAAAGTTTTACAAAATATGAAATCGATAACAAAATAAATTCTAAATTTGGGCTTTTAGATGCTCATAATCGGGTGGAAACGTACGTTATTCAAAATTTGAAGGCTCTAGGTACCGTTGTTTTATCACAGTGCGAGAAACGACCATACATTTATGCAGATTCTTCATTATTTAATTACTTTAAATATAATACAGGGCTGTAATATTTGCTGGCAAACATTTGAAAAGTGAACCGACATTTAAAGTTTTCAACGCAAAATGCCAAAACCAAATTAATAGCCCTTCTCGACTAACACCCTTTGTGCAAAAAATTAACAATAAAAATAATAAAATAATAAATAATTTAAATTAAATTAAATGCAACGAGATAAGCAAAGTTTAATAAATTATTAAATTTTTTATGAATAGTTAAATAACAAAATAAAACACCGGATCTCTTCTTATTTGGGGTTGTGGATGAATTTACATTTTCATAAGAAAAACTAAGAGCTAGCTTAGCTGAGCTCCGGTTGAATTTAAGACCTGAATAAACGGTACATAATTCAATATTTCAAAGGATAATAGAAAAAAATCTGATGTGTACATCACATGATTCCCTTGTACGAAATATTAAATTGCACGCAATTTTCCTGTATTTCATTTAAACATATCGAATTAATAGTTAACGAATTTTCAATTAAGTCTACATCGCCAATAGCGCATAAGCCACAATAGAATAAATGCACTCTTTAAAGTTCACTATATTTATTTACCATAGCGACACTTCGGCGATCGGTTCACTTAACAGCGGTACATCTAATTCAATTTATAACTCAGAGTGCACAAAAATTATATCATCTTATAATTTTTTTGGGGGGGGGGGAAAGAGTCTTATTCTGTGCTTACGTACAGATGTCACGCGAAAACATCGTTAAATTGCATTCGATAGCAGTGAAAATGGATATTTTCGTTGAAATATGATACCCGAAATTTTTCGCTATTACAATACTTCCTTTTTATTTCGTACAAGGAAATAGAAAGGACCATTCATTCTCCAGCACACCAATGTGAAAAGGTAAAAGGTAAAGTGCCACTATAAGAATAGAAAGAATGCTAGAAACAGTAACAAAGTGTGGAAGGAAATATTGTTGCTTCGTCCTTTCTTTTTTCCAGAAGCAGAAGGGTTGTCTTCATGAAATTTTCTTTACTGGAAATTGACTCATCTTTACATTATGCATATAGAAAATCCTGAATAACGAATCCTTTGGTTATGAAAAAGTTACTTTGCATGAAAATGTGCTAATTTTTCAAAAGCAAGGATTTTAAAGTTATTATTGCTTTAAATTCAGACAGACTGAAATAAATTCTTAGTGTCATTATTCATTACTAGGAGTTTTAAAAAATATCATAGTATTTATTTAATCCTTTTACGTGATTAATTTGCGAAATTAAAAAAAAAAAAAAAAAAAGTTACATTGCACTCATTAAATAGTTCACTATTTTCCTCAGTAAGTATCTAAAATAATCGCTCCCGGAATGTTATTCTGCACTAATCGTCTTTGGCGTTAAAAAGAGAGAAGATGCGAATGAAAAATAAATAATGTCTTGTTATTCAATAAAAGTAAGCATTGTTTTATGCACGTGGAAGTTATGAAAATGATGATGTTATTACATTTATTTAATTATTATAAGCAGTAGTTTTTTTTTGTTATTATTCTTTATGTTTTAAAATTATGTATAATATGTAAATAAATACCTAAATTAAGATTAAAAGGTACATTAAAATATAAGCTAAGGAAGAAATTTTAATAATCATGAATCGAAATTCATATAAAATAGCTCACTAATAATTGTAGATATAAGCTTGTGATAGGAAAATAGAGATGGGAATTAAGACTAATTAAATAGAGATGGGAGACTAAAGAAATAATGAATGAAAGTGCAGACAAAGATAGAGGGAAACTCTTATCTCCCCCTCCTCCCCATAAAGCGCACCAACGGCCGAGCGGAAATTTTGTTGAACAGTGGTAGTTCATCCTGAGCTAGATTCCAGGCGAACGGGCTGGCTGCATGGACATTTTCGTGTTTTTCCCATATGTAAGGTGGTTACAAGTCAATTCCTTAGATGATTCTCCACGAAGGCATCCCTGCTGTTAGACAGATCCTTTCCCTAAAATGTTTTTTCATAATCAAATAAACTGAACTCATCTCGCTTCCCCTATCTGGCACGTGATATTAAGATTAAGAAGACAGTGGGGGAAATTGTCAAAAGACACGCCTCCGCAAGTGACATGGGGAAGGAAAATTAAGCGAAACCTCATTTTGGAAAAAAGAAAGGACGAAGCAACAATATTTCCTTCCACACTTTCTTACTGTTTCTAGCATTCTTTCTATTCTCATAGTGGCACTTTACCTTTTACCTTTTCACATTGGTGTGCTGGAGAATGAATGGTCCTTTCTATTTCCTTGTACGAAATAAAAAGGAAGTATTGTAATAGCGAAAAATTTCGGGTATCATATTTCAACGAAAATATCCATTTTCACTGCTATCGAATGCAATTTAACGATGTTTTCGCGTGACATCTGTACGTAAGCACAGAATAAGACTCTTTCCCCCCCCAAAAAAAAATTATAAGATGATATAATTTTTGTGCACTCTGAGTTATAAATTGAATCAGATGTACCGCTGTTAAGTTAACCGATCTAGGCTTAAGCTGTAATCCCTGTACTTCATATGCCCTGCAATTAATCAGTACCCAGCCCAATCAAAAAATATGACAATTTAATTAAAATTCTGTTTTATATTAAATAGCGTATCAGATTCTTATTAGTTTTTTCAATTATTATCGAATTATTTCTTTCTCCCTGAAATATGTGTAGTAAAACATTTTCTGCCCAGGCTGTGTTAAATAATATTTAGAAAAAAAGGTCGCCAAAACTTCGATCGTGAGCTACCAATAGGTTCCAGCACTTTTGATAGTGTATATAAAAATATTTTCCTTTGAAGCTAATATTAAAAACGAATATAGCAAATACTTCCATAATATAATAAATTCCATTCATAATTCGAGAGACTCGTGATGACTAAGGCTGCAACAATAAAATTGCCTTAAAAATGAAACTATTCCGTTGTATCGAGAATTTTAAAGAATTGAAAAATTATTGTTTCGTAGAAGATTCATCAGAAATGGATTTCTACTAAATTTCAACCTCAGTAGAAAGTTTTACCTTTGATATTTTCAAAGCATTCATCATTATTATAATGCGTAAACTGCTAATAAATGAGGCCGCACAAAATTGCTTCGGATGACGCCAGTTTGAGACTAGTGTTATAAAGCATTCATAATATGCAAAATACTGGGAAATTATGTATCTGTAATCATTTTGTGGGGAATTATGTTTCTCATTTCGCAAATTACATTTCTACACTGCAAAACTATACACACACACACAAAACAAAAAATAAAACAAAAAATCTGAAAGGTTTCAGATTTTAAATTATGTCAAAAGGGGCCTTTTTTTTTAACGTTTTGTGTGTTACCTTTATTTATTAAATATCATGTTCTTTGCCCTTAAACCATAAAATTTACTAGTTCAATAGCAATGTCGCAACTAATTTGAAAATGAGCATATTTTTAGAATTTCCGGTACACAGTTCCGCGGGCTGGAGATAAAAAGGTCCCCCCTTCCTGCTGTCATTGCTCGGTTTTAAATCGTTGAGTTTGTTACTCAAAAATTCGTTAAAGTTTTACAAAATATGAAATTCCAAATTTCAAATTTGGTCTTCCATGCCCATATTCGTAGGAGGATTACGTCATTTAAAATTCGATGGCTCTAGGTACCGTTGTTTTATCACAATGCGAGAAATATACCTATATTTATGCATATTTTTCATTATTTAAGTTCTTCATAAGTTCAAATATAATGCAGGACTCTAACATTTGGTGGCAACAGTTTGAAAAGTAATTCGCCGTTTATAGTGATTCAACGCAAAATCGCAAAACGAAAACAATAGTCCTTCATGGACAAAGCCCCTTTGGACTAAAAAAAGAGAGAGAAAACATTGATTGCTAAGGCTCTTATTTCGATCATGTATATTTTTACATTGCGATGATCATACCTCATCTTTACAGAGGTTGGCAAGGTTTATATACCTAGCTTGGAATATTCTAATGTAATCATTAGTACTATTGTATTTTAAAGTCATTGTAAAATTCGCAAGGTGTTTATTTTGTTTCTCAGCATTCAGTTTATGCTTGTTAATAGCGTTACCCCTATTAATGGTCATAAAAGTCCGTATTTATTTTTTGCGTATAATTTGCATTCTAAATATCTTATCTTTATCCGTACCCGTACAGTGTTTAAAATTAAACAAACGTGAACATTTTAATGTTAACATAATTGAAATTTTTGTAATGTGCAAAGTACAAGGGAATTTAATATAGCCAGTTTTTTTTTTTTATTATTATATTTACTGATACATCTAACAGATAAGATTCCAAACTTGTACCTGTTCTAACTAGAATATTTGCTGCTCATTCTGGAACTGAAATAAAGGTCACGTTTCTGAAACTCATAAAAAGTTTGGTAGGAGAAATAAACTCTATCGTTTTATAGTAATAATACAAATTTCTGAATGAACTTAACAACTGGCGTAGCTAGGGTGGAGCAAGGGGGACATCTGTCCCCGGGCGCAACATCCAGGAGGCGCCAAATTGATGATACGAAATTTTAGAATGAAATGTTTCCATCCTTGGCACACAGAAATGGGCGGAAAATCTTCAGCTGTCCCCGGGCGCTGAAAACCCTAGCTACGGCTCTGAAAATAACGTTCTTAAAGTTACAACAAAAATCGATTTTGAGCACAGCAAAGATGTTTAATTCCTTTTCTTTTCTTTTCTTTCTTTTTTTTTTTTTCTAATTATAGTTTATACAAAAATGCATGCAATAAAATTTTCATGTTTATTTCCATATTTTTTACACTAAGGAACAATTTTTTACACTAATAAACAATTCTGATTGTTTACGAAATAAACTTTTCGTTTAATCCAAAAATATATTGTCTTACAGAATTAAGCTGCTTTCTCCTCAAAAAATTCTTTTGATTTGAAAAGGCTTGGAATCCTATTTCCTTTAACAGTTCTTACCCCAAATTTAATGAGAGTATTTTTGAATTTCCACTAAATTATTACGTATTCAAACTTTTTACGAGATTGCTTCAACATTTGAAAACATAAACCTTAGTTACAGAAGTAGATTTTAATGTTATTGGAATATAAAGAGCTGATCAATGTAGACCTGATAATTTTCTTTTTCTTTACATTTTATATTTGTATTTATTTATTTGTTTGATAGATAGTTTTAAACACCTGGAAGTAAATTTCTTCGGAGTGTTTACTGTTTTCAGATCGAGAATTTCGCCAGGGCGCGAAGTATTGCCTCCTGAAGGAATGATTGTCGATGAGTAAATAATCCAGTGAAATAAATACACCTTTACATGTTGAATTTTTTAGGTTTTAAATAGAAAACTGCATATCAAGATTAGATTGCAACTTCTTTTAAGTTCATAATTTTTGTGTTTTTTAATATTTTTTTCCAACTTTAAACTCTTTTAGATGTTAGACTGTGATCTAAAACATTTAAATTGCAATTTTTTTCTATATTTAAATGAAATAATCCCTTTAATAATTTTTTCCGTTAGCTTAGATAATATGAAAAGATATTTCATTATTATTTTATGTCAAATGAATATTATTTATATGAAGATCACTATTTTTGAATATTATTTATATGAAGATCACTATTTTATGCCAATAAAATAGTGTCAAATGAATATTATTTATATGAAGATCACTATTTTATGCCAATAAAGAAATGATATCTGAATTTACTTTAGCGATTGCAGATAAAGTACCTATTTTGTGTTACTCAAACAAAACAAAACAAATTTTTTTTCAAGTTATCAAAAATAAGAATAAGACCGTATATTCAGTTTTAAGACCTGCATAAATTAAAATAAATTCCATTTGTTTATGTTGGTTGAAACTCAAGCGAATTCCATATTAGGAAATTAAAAATAATTATATTATTCAATTTTGTAATATAAAAGTGTTAACTGAAAGAACAAAATTCCATCATTTATATTGCTATAAATAATAAGTATTTTGCTTAATAATTATCCAGCAGTACCGAATATCGAGATGGGCTGTGGTTTCAGTTAGTCTAGGCATTTGGAGTTTTGTCATATATTGCTTACTTCATTCTATCATAATTCAGTACTAATGGTTATAAGAAATACAGAAAAACTGAAATCGGGACTTAGAAGTGACTATATTGCCCTGCTTTCAGGAATAAACTTGCGTTCAGAATACTAGTAAATATAAGTTCTATAAGTTAAATTTGATATAAATAACATATTTCGGCACTAAGAAACAAACCCTACGCGTCCTCTGCCCAAAGCTCTGAAAGTTACATTTAATTTAAAAAAATCCAAGTCAGGTCAACCAATGAATGCATTTTCATTTACTGCCTGAAAGAATGTGAATAAAACAGGTATTGCTTAGAAAAGTACTATATTTTAAGAAAATAGTTTCGTATGGTACGCAGGAAATGCATATTTCTCCACTGGTTTTAAACCCGTATCTGTCCACCTTAAACAAGAATGGCCTTCATTCCACCAATCATTGAGACCATTAACTGTAGCAGGAGTAACAGGTTCATGCAATTTTTCACACAAATTACACATCCACGGTTGAAGATAGGACCGATACGTATTCTTCCAAGTGAAATATGATAAATATCGCGTATGATTCTTCGATATTTCCCACAAAAATTTCCCTAGTGCTTCTGGAGTGTCAAATTCCATAGCATTAATTGTAGAATTTTCTGGCACGATTTGAGAATAGTTTACACCACCGAATGTGATAGGAATTACATCATATTCTAAGGAGTTGAAGAGTTTTTCAGTGACATAGTCTCGACACAGAGCATTTTCGAAAGCTAAGTAAAATTTATACCGCCCTGCCATATCTAGATAGCATTTTTGCTTTTGAGCAGGTCTACAGTGCTCAATTCCACATCCACCAATTACGTCCACAGGATATATTTCTTTTAAACGATCGACATATCCTTCTCTGTTGCTATCTGTTCTACAATCACTGACGAACCACACGGCCTTGTTCTGCTTCCTCTGCAATGTATCAATACGGCGTTCAAAGTATGTTTCTTTTAAAGATGGTCTTCTACCAATAAAACCATACTTAACAAGGATATCGGAACCTCTCCTGTAGCTCATTGTCCAGTTGAATACTCCATCAAATCTTTTCAGATCTCTCACCTCTAGCCAAGGAGGCTCCATGGAATACAGAATCCATATTTGTTCGGGCAGTCGGACTGATGGAATGCTGTAGACTTCTAGATCACGGAGATGGAAAAGGACAGCATCTGCTTTGCCTATATCTGCAGGATCTCTGGAAACATAACAGCTGCTGACTGGACAAGAATAGCGCAAAAAGGTGACATTTCCCAAATGCAGAAAATAATAATGTCTAGGATTAAATTCACTGAAATAGGAAGTTGCCAAATATATCAATTTCGGCAGTTCTTTAGAAAATTCAAAAGCATGAATACTTTCTGAAGAAAATCCAATAATTCTAGCCTCTTCGTTGTAGAACTTTTTAACAGTGGGATCAAGATGGTATTCTTTGACTAAAGGAAAAATATCTTTTCTCTGATTGTGCTCCATAGCAACTGGAAACTTTGTTTTCTGTCTATGAAAAACTAAATTTTTTGAAGGAATTACAAAAGCGCTATTCAGGAGACAAAACAGAAGTGCTATGAAGAATAGTACTATCGGGCTGAACACTAGAAAATTTTTCCATGTGCTGCTGTTCGAAATACGGAGAAAAGTGATACGTTTCATCGTCTGCACTTCTTTTTCTTCTCCACTTAGAACTCTGATACTTCTTGGCAAGTTCTTAATCTCCTGAGCACCTGTAAAAATGTCTAATTAGTAATCGAACTTAAAATACCTAGTTATAACTGCAATCAAAATATCTCGATAACAACGTTGTGGTTTTTATTTTACAATGACTTTCGCTTTTGTATACATATTTGTACACTATGCTGTAACTTCCCATTAAAGAAAAATAATTTCTAAGTTTTTAAAAAATTTTTAGTTTATAAAACATTTACTTGTGCTTAAGTTACATTTAACTACTGCCTTAAAATTTTTATGCCTTATTTTTAGTTAAAAGTATTCATGTACATCAAACGCTCAAATATTAAGCTTAGTTTTTGACACTGTAGTTTTTGATGTTAGGAAGTATTACAGTCATCATTTACAAGATATTAGATTTCTAATGAATTTTTTTATACTTGAATTATAAAAGTTGTAATAGTTTTATTTAAAACAAAAAAACTTAGCGAACAGCAGGGAGGTAATACTTCTACGTTAAATAATATCTATGTACAGTTTCTAAAAACAAAATATTACATTCTCGTTTATTACTTGTTAAACATAATCTTTTATTTAGTTCACTCATTCTTTTACAATTCAAACATCTAAAAATGCATGGGATATAAAATTTCGAAGTTTTCGCATATTATAAAACAAATACATCGCCTCTTTTCAAACAAGAATTATAAAAAAATATTAATTGGATAATTGTAAATAATTATAGAATTTGCTAGTAGTAAAAGAATCATTGTACACTGCTAAAAAAAAAAAAAAAAAAAAAAAAAAAATGGGACAGTCCTATATCTCCCGATCTACTGGGCCGATTGACAAAATTCAAACTGCATTCTTTATGTCTCGAAAGCGCGACTTAGGATATATATTAGATTTATATATAGCACTATTCTAACATAGGTATTTTGACACAAAATCGGACATTTTCTGAAATAACATACCAATTTTTTTACATATTTCGATTCTACGACTCAAATTACGCCTAAATATGAAATTTTGTAAAATTTGGAGCAAAATTTACAGAGAAATTCACAAATTTATGTTGGCACTATTTTGTTTTCATTTTGCATACAGCAAGAATAGTTCACTTGGCGAACTTCTTAATATATGGCAACCTAGTTTTCCTTTCCCTCTCTACCTCGTGAGAGGAAAAAAAAGGGTCACGATCGTTCCTTTTTTCCAAATAATATTCTTTATATTGTATTTTTAATTATAACTTATTATTTTAAGTAATTTTTTCTTTTTCGAATTTCATTTTAATTGTTTAAGTTGCATGGTTTTTTTTCCAATAACTGTTTTTAAAAATTTTCTATTTACCTATTCGAACTGCGTAAATAAAGGTGCAGCGTTTATTTTTTTTTTCAAATAGTTTTCTTTATATATATTTTTTTGTCATAGTTATTATTTTAGGTAATTTTTAAATTCTTATACTTTTATTTTAATTGTTTGTGTTGCATTGTCTCTTCAGATAATTGTTTTAAAATTTTCTATTTATTCCTTCGAACTGAGCATTTTAAATAAATTTTCCAGAATTTGATTTTATTTATTTGAATTGCGTTTCTTTCGGAGGAATACTTTGTAACCCAGATTACGATGCGTTTGAAAACTGAATATATTAAAAGAGCAAATACAGTAAAGCATAGTTAACACGCCTTTCAATGTTCCGTTCAGAAAAGATATATATAAATAAGAGAGATGTATAACCGACATTTTAACTTAGGATGACTTGCATACACTGCTTTAAACAGTTTTATCATTGTGCCCATTGCTTTACACAATTTTATCCTACATTTGGTTCCTTAAATGTTATTCATATTTTAGTAAAATATTTTATTTTTGAAATCGTAAGAACTAAATATCATAAGATTAAAAGTTTTAAATTTAAAAAAAATACAAATACTAAATTTTACCCAAAAATTTATTTTTTCTTCTCTTTTTCTCCCACAAACAGCCAAGCGGTAAAGTCGCTGAACACTGGTAGTTCACTCAGGGGTTCGAATCCCGGTAAACGGGCTGGTTACATGGGTGTTTTCGTGGATTTTCTCATGTGTACCGTGTATGCCAGCTGGTTTTCCTTTGAAAGTTCTTCACAAAGGCATCCTTCCAAGGCAGATAACCCTGCTTTGACGTAACTTAATAATCCAATTCAATCCATTTCATCAATATTTGGTCAGAGCCTTTATCAGTCTTTAGAGGCTAAACATTTTGAAGATATGAAATGAAAGAAAAGACTGGTTTCATCAAGAGGTTTTGGTTTATTTAATTATGACAAAGCACACTAGGGCTATCTCCCTAAGGGGAGGGATGCCTTCGTGGAGGACTTTCTAAGGAAACTGGCTCGCATACGCGTTACACATGGGGAAAACCACGAAAACGCCCATGCAGCCAGTCCGTTCGCGGGATTTGAACCTCGGACCGAACTACCAGAGTTCAGCGACTTTACCGCTCGTCCGCTGTTTCATCAGGAGGGAAAAAAAAAACGCCTTTAGGTGACATTCACATACAATACTGGATAAACCCTGAATCTTCAAATAATTCGACTGAGAAAATCATGGGATTCTCCATTTATGGTACGATATGATGTTCTATAACGTAATTTAAATTTATACAACCATATAGTCTAAAACTAGTCGCTCTTCACTTTAATCTGCAATGATATCGTTTTTGTTTTTTCTGATAACACAAGCTCAATTGATGGTATTTGCTGGTGTATACGCCCAAGTGTTTTCTCTTTGAACGCCTAAATTCTTTGAAGTAACCTGAAAGTATATTCAAAAGCGTCCAACTTTTTGAAACATCTTGGTATGTCTAAGAGCCAAATTTTCCCTGCAAATTTTTGCTTGCTTTTCTCCCTAATCTTCTTCTTTCCTTCTACAGTTATTTTTATTAGTGCTCACACAAGAAAATTAAGAATTTTCGATTGCTAGATTTTCATAAATTTTGCATTCTTGTCAATTTTTTAAAATATCCATTGCATCAACTGTGTTTCAGCTGAAGACAGCTTTTCATTTTCTAGACATTTTAACTATATACAAAGTATAGAGCAAAGTCCAAAGGATAAATATTTTAATAAAGATTTTTTGCTAAATGACAAAGAAATAAAACAGTCCAGCAGTGTTTCTTCTTCACCACCGAGTAACCCGATTCTTATATCGGCTGAAACAATCTAAATCATATTAAAGATCATGTTTTTTTTATACAATCTATAACGCGAGGGAAAAATTAGCTTCTTAAAACATTTTTCCTAAGAAGATTAATATAAAAGATTATATTTATATATATATTTTTAAAGCTGGGACTTGAACCAAACTGTCAAACTTTTAAAGTTTAATTTACATGGTGGTTATAATTAAAGGTCCAATTTGAAATGGTCATAAAAGGAAAACTACCGGACCAAATGTTATTAAACTTGGGAATCGTATATAGGAGGTTATGGGAATTTATTTTCCGCGGAAAAAAAAAAGTGTTCAAAAACTCACCACCAGGGGGAAAATGGCGCTGTATACAATATTGTTAAATGAAATAAGACACGAAAACATCTGTTTAAAATGCGTTTAATATTTTCCGAAACGTGTTACAAAGCAGGTTCAATGTAGCGTCCAGCATTTTCCGAAAGTCAGTTAAATCCTGTTACTGCATTCTCGACAGCAGCTCTTAGCATATCAGGAGTAATGTTACGGACATGTCAGTGTATCACATTTTTCATTTCTGCCAAATTGTTTAGATTATCACCATAAACAGTGCTTTTGAGATAACCCCATAACCAAGAGTCACAAAGGTTGAGGTCTGGTGGAAAGAGGGGAAGTGTTGGCCTATAAGACTTTCATTCGTGAAATGTTGCCTAAGTAACTGTGCGACACGCGTGAGGTGGGGCCCAGCCCTGCATAAAAATCGTAGTATCTAAAATGCCACGTTACTGCAGTTCATGTATCACGAAATATTTTAACATTGACTCTAAGTGAGCTGCAATCACAGTGGTCCAGCTGTCGACTGCTCTTCAGAGAAAAATGGTTCAGTTATAATACTAGCTGTCATTCAACACTAAACGGTGTGGAATGACTGCTATGCAATCGAATGCAGTAGGAGAATGCAATGGAACTAGATAGATAACATGAGGGATTTCTTTGGCCCAAATCGATTAAAAGCGTTTTGAATCAGTATCTTCATGTTTTAGTGCCGAATTCAGATTTCAAAAATTACTAATTAGCGATCTGTAAGAAAACGATTTCCAGATTGTACGCACTTGTGCGAGTGATTTGCGATCTCACATTTTCTAATCGCTAATTCATGGTTTTCACAGACGAATTTCTCACTTACACGGATGGCGCACTCGACTTTTATTGAATTTAACGCCTTTAATGGTAATTTGCTTACTTCAAAGTTTCTTAAGGTATACAACATATTAAACCCGTGTAACAAAAGGTTAAGTTAGATTCCGACCCATATTTCGTTTAACAATATTGCATACAGCGCCATTTTCCTCTGGTGGTGAGGTTTCCAACTTTCTTTTTTTCGCGGAAAATAAATTCCCATGACATCCTTTACACGGTTACAAAGTTTGATAACATTTGATCCAGTAGTTTTCTTTTATGACCGTTTCAAAGTGAAATTTTAATTATAACCACCCTGTATATTATTAAATTTTAATTTGAAGCTATGCGTTATATGTATACCATGCGTAAGATTTTCGCTTTTATGGAAAAAATAAAGAATCGAAGCAAATATACTTAGGATATAAGACCAAAACTGAAAAAATTTCCCCTCCCTCCGAAAATAAAATATTGAAACTTTGACCATGAATTTATTGAATTATCGAAATATTCAATTTGACTTATCTTCTTAGTTCCGACAACAATTCCGTCAAAAATTCCGAATTACTGAAGCTGAAGTAAAAGGTTTAGTATATATTCATTCACTGTATGTTAATAAAGTAATAAGAGTGTAACAAAAAACAGATTATAGAATTTACGCTGATGCAACTATTTGAATGCACAACATGTAATGGAAGAGAAGGCTTGTAGAGA